TACCTAAATTTGTCAGGCTAATTGTAGTAATTTAAGGGTAAATCTCCAGAAAAGGGAATGAAATCAACTGGATAGCATATCTGTGAATGAGAACTACACTCCTTGAACTAATTATAAGATAATATGAAATAATAATAACCAATAATAAGTCAGTTATTTTTAGAGAATAGTTTACAGTGAGTAAAAGAGTATTTATTTTCTCAAATGTTACTCAGTCTTTTTCCATGGGAGTGCAAATATTGTAAAATTAAAAACTGATCAAACTAAAACATCCTAATGCTGCCAGGGAAATAAACTGCATGACTGTAATAATAAGACAAACCCAAATTGAGGCTTCAGATATCAAAGTGTGAAATTAGATAAATTTGAAACTTACTTTACCTTTGATTGTCAAAATATCATATTGTAGATTGTGTTGCAGGTTGAACTGGTCACTGATAAGTCCATTGTTTTAGTTTGACAGAAATCTGATGATTGGATTGGTTCAGACCACCAGTGTGAAAAGTGTTTTTATTTCTTATTTTGTTCCATTCTTAGTCTCCTTGACATGAACAAAGACAAGTTAAAAATTATGAATGTGAAAAAAATCCATATCTGCCAAAAGCTTAATATATCTGCTGGATCCTAATGCACAGCTGTTTATTCTGGGCCATATTTTCCAAAGTATCACAGACCTAATGGCTTTAAATGGCATCTGCTTTGAGAACTTATCTTGATAAATTAAGGCTCTACAAAAAGAAGGAATGTCATGTTTAAGTTTAAATGACAAATACTATAGAGAAAATATCGAGACAGATTGATGGATTCTGAGAAGTCTGTGTCTATTAGCAGGGCGTCTTTTGACCCCTGGCTTTTTCTTCACAGACGTACATAGGGTGGCTTTAATTGTTGAAAGGAAAACTCCCTCCCAACTTGCCAGTATCCACATCCTCTCTTTCTTGCCCTTTCGATTAATTTTTCATAATCACTTAATGGTTTCCTTTTCCCACACGCTAAAAAAAAAAAGAAAAAAAAAAGGCCCATCAGGGCACACTGATCCTTATTCTAGCTTCTCCTGTCAGCAAGGCCTCAGAGGAATTCGTGCCAGACCGACTCGCTGAGGAGATGAAGTTGGCTGGTTTTTAGTACAGAACGTTCATTTTTCAGCACGCTGAGGCTGCCATCATTTTCAAGAGATAAGCATTTAGACCTCTTCTGACACAGGTCTCAGCCATCATCCTGAGACTTGTGTGGGATACCGTGTTTTGGAGTTGGCCTGTGACTGATTGATTTGCGGAGACGTGGGAAATAAGGCGACGTCCTCCTTTTTCCTTCACGGGCTACTCCAGCAGTGGGTGTAATTTAGAGGAAGTCTTAATCTCTCAGCGGGGGAGTGGTTGGGTGGTGTTTACCTTCTTCCACTTGTGTGTTTATTGTGGCAGTTTGGTGGATTCAGGCCTGATGGAAAATGTAGGAGGGGGCACTCTGGCTGGGCTATAGCTGTGCAGGAAGAGGGTGAGGTGCTATGGAGGGTTTTGCATCCTGTAGGTCAGGTTGACCAGTCTTATTGAACTCTAACATGAACTAAACGTGTGACTAAACTTACTAACATGAAACTTTGAGTGACAGCAAGACAACCATGACTCCCAGTGCTGCCGGATCCATAAAAGCAGCAAAGAGGCCAAAAACTGTGACCTGTAAGGAACTCAGTATGAAATATCCATGATTTATGGCCTCTGAGAGAACAGAAAGAAATGGGGTCTGTTTTCCGGGCCAATCACTCATTCCATATTCTGCCTCTGTGTATTTGCTCTTGGGTCTGTCAGGGACACTGAAAGCGAGTCATTCCATGTCTTAATCATTTGAAGAACATACCAATCAAATATAGAACGTTCCTCTAGTGTATGGTTCTATTTTGATCACATTTTTTGAACAACATATGAGGAATACGGCAAGCGTCTTACATTCCAGTAATGACTAACATTCCAGTATTTGTAGGATTTTTCTTTTTATAGCCATGAATTAAATTTGCATATATATTTTGAGTAAAGAACATATTATAAAAACATATAAAAGTTCTCTAAAGGGCATTTTTAGGTTTCAATTTTAATACCCCAAAAAATTATGTTTCAAAAAGTAAAACAGACATTTTTGATACCTATACATTCTATATAAGGATCTTAACCCTTAAATGCATGGCATTAAATGGGTCTTTTAGCGACTCAAATCTATAATAATATAATATATAATATAGAATTCTCCTTATATTAGAGTAACCATTACAGAATAACATAAAGCATATTTTATTACCTTTTTGGGGCTTGGAAGGGTTCAGTTTGAGCAGATGTTTTATATTATCATCACTGTCCTCATCAGATCTCATTTCCCAGTACATTCAGAATCTGGCTCATATTCTTGATCTCAAACACATTCTCAAAACTATTTTTTTCATCATCTTCAAAATCAATATTTTGAATGCTGACCAGATCAACCATCAGGTGAAAGTGACTCTAATATTTGATTGTGTACAGTACTTACTTGCTCTGCATAAATCGTTGAACCATTTAAATATTTTGCTGATGATCCTTCCTATTCTTTTGTTTTCTACCTGCGGTAACTATGAGTGAAACGTCACTTCAACATTGTGTATCAGATATTGCTACTTTGTGAAATAAACGTGAATTGCACAGTCATCAAAGATTCAATTCTTTTTGTGCAGAAAAAAAAATACTTACACTGTTACACACCAAAGCAAAACAAAACTTTCTTGATCACTCGTACTACAGAGCTCCTAAAGGGACCTTTGGAAAAAAATAAATAATGACTATAGCGTGCGCAGGCAATAGTAACTTGTACACGCGTTATAATTTATTATGTTCCAACCCCGTAAGACTTTCGCTCATCTTCAGAACACAAGATATCTTTGATTAAATCTGAGAGCTGGATCACTCCTCCAAAGGCTTCTTAAGGAATTTAAACTGGCTGGCCCAAAAGTTATGAAAGACATAGGTAAAATAATCCGAGTTACTACAGTGGCTCAATCTTAAAGGAGAACTCCAGCGCAAAATTAACCTTTGGTAATCACACATTGGTACCTAGTAAACCGTTCTCTGAGATTTGTTTTCATGATAATTGAATGCAAAGGGTTTTATCTCTAAAAACTGTTTAGTGTATAACGCTAGTCTATGGGGCATATAATAAGTAAAACGAAATCACTAGTTAAAAATCATTTTGCCCCAGAGTTCTCTTTTAAGTTTATCAATCGACGAGAATATGTTTTGTTTGCAACAAACTAACAAAAATAACGACTTTATTCAACTATTCATTTCCTTCTCTGTCAGCGCAGTCTCATACCAAGACGTCATATAACTGACGTCTTGGGACGTGTTTTGACCATTAAAAGGTGAAACTTAAACGGTGAAACTTGTACCCAAACCGGAAATTGTAATGCATTGCGTGCGCACGCGATAGTCTTTTTTTTTTTTTTTTTTTGCAAAGGTCCCTTTAGGGGCTCAGTATAATCCAGTTTTTTAAATAAATATATTATTATTATTGTTTTATTAAAGTATACTGAACATAAAGTTGACAACTGGGGCTGTATGAGTGCTTGGAAGAATAAATGCACAGGCTGGAAGTTGACACAAATGCCTGGGGACAGGACTCAGTTGATTGCCAGCACTTTAGTAATGCCACAAACAGATTCCACAATCAGCTATGAAAACATACACTCATGAATTTCCTCTAAAGAGACATGTGATGTGTGGACAATAATAAACCCCTAACCAATTGCAACTTAATTGTCTACATCTGAATCCATAAAATCATACACAGGTGACTTAAGTTATAGCATCCAGTTTGTGATAGAACAGCACGTAATGGGGAGAGTAATCTTAACTGCAATGAAAAGCCAAGCAATGCAGCAGATACCTAACCGGTGGCAGGTGTATGATACTGGAGCCCATTCAGGTGAAACATACAGGCAGAAATTACAGATTTTATGGAGTTGAGGATTTATGTGATGACCTCTAGCTGAGGTTCCCAGGACCACACACGATATTTATTTAGCAGCGTAACATATTTCTGCTTATTGACATGTTCTGGCTACCACATAGTTTTTCTATGCATAACCAAATTTACGTTATTTCTCTGTAAATTATTTGTTTTGCTGCATTTTACTCACCGCTTATTTTTGTTTACATTGTATAAACATGCTAGCTGGGATGTCTGAAACGCTAGTCTTTTAAATTATAAGAACAAACCACTCATTTATTTACATGTCTGTACTTATTTTCGTTTCTAGTTCATTGGAATACACAAGCACCAGATGAAAACCTAATGTCAGCTAAATGTTGAAATTTAAACCTCATCTTCATTCACCACTACGAACTAGGTAAGCAAGCCAAGGCAGAGGGGAAAATCAGACTAGACATGGCTTCACCCCCATTCTCAAATACTCAAATCCACTGACGGGACGACTGTTTCAAGTTATTTCACGGTGATCCACTGTGAGTCCACATATGTTATTTTTATCAGGTCTCTCTTGGGATTGTGCAGCGGATGCAGATGGCTATGGTACAATCTGTTGCAAACCAGGGTACAGGGAAACCCTCATTTTAGCTGGAAACAGATAAATGGTGCACAATTTTACAGCATAAAATCCATGGTAGCATGTGTTAGAGAAGGAAGGGGTAATACAGTCCAGATGCAAAAGCGATGCAACTAGATCTGAAGAGCCCTGAAGAAAAGAAGCAGTGACGTGTGTGAATTTAGAAAACGTCTTTGCATATACTGGGGTTAAAACACATGGGAACGAGGCCACCTGCTGTATGAATATGCTAGAAGACAAAAGATGTGCTGGATTTAGCTCCAGAGTTTGTTTCTGATCATTCCCATCTGATGGCAGAAGATTATTGTTCCATTATGGTTCTCCAGGGGCTTTCTATGGAATGAGAATCGGTGAAAAAAGGAAGAAAAAGAAATCACACACACACTTTTGGCAGACAAAGATACAAGAACTGGGATGGAAGCAGAGGTGATTTATTATATTTACAGTGTCAAGCTGAAACAGAGGGCCGATATCAAGTGGAGTTGGGCCAATCACATTGCTCCTATTTACAAATCAATTGAGGTTAAAGTCCTAAAAGATGAGTCCTCCACTGATCTCCAAACTTAGAGCTTGTTTCACTGTAATACTGTTTTTACTTAAGGAGGCAGGTTGGATGTGACATAAGTGAAATCCATTCATCCAAGTGTACATTGTCACTCATGTAACTCTTATGGAACTGCATACTGCTAATGGTCCATATCCAGGGTTTGCCCCTGTTAATATCATGCTGTATTTCCTTGTTCACAGTCTTCGATGTTGTAGGTGACTTGCATGATGGTTTTAGATTGTCAACAAGCAATGCTTCCAGCACAAAAAAGTTTCTTTGCCGGCTTGCACTGTCAGTTTGATATCTGGAATAACTTTATCTGGAATGATAGGTGCATATACAGTATTTGGTAGTCAATACTAAATAAATTTGAATCATGTGCAGTATTATTACAATAAGATAGTCTAGCTTATAAATAAGTTAACAATATATAATACAACTTTATACTTTATTTTACGGGACTTAACATGATACAAAAATATTGATCACAGTGGGTTTTTTTTGTCTTTGCAGAGATTTGAAATGAATGCTATGAACAAGGGAGATTCAAAACATTTCATGGCAATAAATTATATAATCATTATCTGACAAAAAAAATGAAAAGACAATTCAATTAAAACAATGAAAAAACATGGCTCCAGCCTTAGAACATTTCTCTCAGTCCTTAATAGCTCACCCCATGCTTGATATGTGGGGTTAAATGTGGTCATTTGTTGTCTCCCACTTACTCCACACTAGTCCACATGACCTAGCACATGTGAGTCAGATAAGCAGCAGCCGAACATTAGCACTGCTCCAAATACCAGCGTGTCCGTAAGCATTCAGTGCTACCTGTACTGTTGGTTGTATTTAGTTCAGTCTCCCCCAGTATGTGGGTATACAGTAACACAGTTGCTCACTGAAATACTCATTATCCTTACATCTCCTTCTCCTGGGGTCCACGTTACATGGCGGCCAGACACAACTAACAATAAGAAAGGGGGGGAAAAAATGGTATTACTATCGGATATTATCACTGTAGCATGTAAGCGCATCAGTAATATTTTGTAAAGGTTTTTAAATGATAAAAATCAACAACAGTCACAGAATTGACTTGATTTTTTTGATAAGATAATAAAACTGAAAAATAATAAAAGTATGAAATTGAAAAGTTATAATGCACTGTGAACTAACATAAACAATGACACTATATATATATATATATATATATATAGTATAAATATACATAAATATATATATTTTTTCATGGTTTATGTTAGTTCACAGTGCATTATCATTTTTAAAAATCTATTATCAAATGTTGAAATTAATTGATAAATTATTTAGAAGTATTGTTAATCGTTACTTCATGTTAACTAATGTTGTTGAAATAGCGTAAATTAAATGTTTTAGGAATGTTTATTTTTCCATATTGTCTTACAAGTTTATATTTTTGTTTACCTACAGTATATTTACATGACTATTGTAATGAAAGGGCCTTAATTACCCATAATTCTGTTTGTGTTTACTGTACATACATTAAATCCATCAACATTTTAGGTGTTTGTGTGAATAGCATATGACACTTTGCATAAAATATAATTTGTCATGTTTATTCCTGTAAAGCTGTCTACTACTTCAAAGTAATATATTCTATTAAGTGGCATATAAAAAAAAAAAATGTGACGACTGCCGAATTGCAGAACTTGAGCAAAACATACAGTATGCACACATAGCTATAATCTAATGCTCTCGTCTCTGCTGTAATTTTTATTTTGTAGAGGAATGAGCAGCACATATTTACATATTTGCATATGCATCGGAATGTTCAGTAACAGTATATTACACTAAACTTCTTTTTACACCTAAGCGAAGAACTGAAAATAACTTTGCCGCGAGTATATTTGGGCCTTTAGGGAGAACCTGATGAGTAACAGAAAACTTTTCTCACCTGCATGTGGCTGGGTGGAACCGACTCCCTTTTAAGAAGCACTTGTTAGGAGACTCTGTGCATTCACACACACATTTGGTGCGGTTGAGAGGATGACTCCTAGGACACACCTTGGAGCAGGTACACTGGCAGGTGTCCTTGTTGAAGCTCTGATGAGGCCCACAGGAGGAGGGCTGAACTTTACACGCACAATGACAGGTGTTCTTGTCCAGGTAGTGCAGTGGTCCACAGTCTGCCGTTCTCAGCTCTTTTCGGCATACACACTGACAGGTCTCCTCATCCAGCTCTTTGTCCGGGCCACAAAAGTCCTGCTCAGTGTCTGCTGATGGAGAGAAGAGAAACAGAAGTTCTATCATGACAGTTCTATGAAGATGCTTGCATGTTAGTGGATTTGACAAGGCTAATGTATTTGTTCTCTGATATTACTGATGCTGTTGAGTATTGCTACTTGCTAGTACTTGCTACTGCCAATACATACACTGATATGCAGCTGTTGTGCATGTAAGACGTGACATACTGCTTCAGGATATATAGAAGATAAACACAGGAAATGAGGAAGGTGGATGGTTGCAGAGGAACTCTGAAAGTGCTAACTATTTAAATGTTGAGAAGCAAGTTCATTGGCTGCTGATGCAACATCAACCAATCAGCTCGTGCTATGCAGATAACAATATAAATATCATCAGTTATGTTAAAGACCCACGAGTCTAAGCCAGCTAGAGTTTCATAACAGAGTTTCTTATTTTACATTACAACTTATTTTTACATTTCTGAGGACATCTTTGGTCAATGCTATGGAATGCCCGGCCAATTCCCAGAGCGTTACGCAAGTAAGGAACAATGTCCAGCATGCACATTTGTCAGAGATGATAAACTGTTTAGAAATACAGTGTTTCTACCCAGCATTCCTCGTGCTACCCCCAAAGGCATAAACAGATGTTTTTCTTTACAACTCGATGAAAACAAATTCAGTGGCTAATTCAACTCTGCCACACTATTTTGCTTTCTTTGTTTCAAAGTACCCAAAATGGCCTAAAAACTTGACTGACGAGAGAGAGTAAATTCTTAGCACTGGTGTTTGTGATTGCTGATGATTAAACACATAGTGGCCACATTACGAAAAATCGACCTTAAGTGGAAAGAGTTTATAAACTGCCTAATAAACTTTTTGTTAGCATGTTGTTGCTACTCATGTGCAGGGAATCTTGCAAATGGACAAAATGCTATGTCACTTAAACCAGAGTGATTTTAACATTTAGGGGCCAGATTTACTAAACAGGGCAAATTAGCATGAGAGCACAATTACAAAAAAAGTGCCGATGGGAATGGAAAGTTCTGCGTGTGATCTACTGACGTCGTGCTAATTAAAGAACACAGACGCAGCCGGATCATTTCCATAATGACCAACACAATCTATCAACAGCAGTGCATATTAGTGTCTGGTTTAAGACATGCTTTTTTGGGCATTAAATAATGGTGCACATCAGTAAACTGATGAGGGCAAACCTTAGTACTGTAAATCACCTTGCATGATTCAATTAAATAGTCTCCCTCCATAAATATTGTGTCTGGAAGGAAAACTTCTACAAATGCATATGCAATAAGGTCAGTCGCAAAAATAACACTGCATGTCTTAAGTAAATCCTGACAGTGTTATTTTTTTTTTTTTTAAACACCAAGAGGTAATCATGGCATGTCAATGGTATTTTTAGTGTGGTTTGCAGTTCTCTTGGGAAACTGCTCAGTTACAGTAAATAAAAACTATTTTGTTTTCACTGGGCATGTACCGTGCTGGTCTGGTTTTGTTGCAGTAAGGTTTTGAAAAACTTTCTCAACACAGGGGGATTTTTCTTTTCTTCTTTTTTTTTTTTGTGTGTAATGTCACTCTTGATTAAACTCACATATGATTCCATAGAATGTACATATTCCCTTTGAGAGATATGGGGTTTACCTCATTTACCAAAAACTTGAGATTCAAGTCTGCATTTGTATTGGTTAAAATAGCATGGAAAGCACATTTTTGCAGGTGTTGGATTTAGACAGTTGTTCTGAAACACTTTCAAGGTAGACTATTACGAGGTTGGCTAAATGAGGTTGGATATTCACTGGACTTGAGCAGCACAGATGCAATCAGTGCAAGGTAATGTTTGTGCAACTGCTTGGACATGACACTCGTTTTGTCTGGATCCATATTAATGCGTTCACAAATTTACAACAAAAACTGAAATGGATCATAGTAACAAATTCAGATTTTTTTTTTTTAAATAACGCTTAAGATTTGTAATCATTAACTAAACATATTTTTAGTAAGTAAAATATGTTGTTTCTTTTTTTCCTTAACAGTTTCAACATTTGTTGAAAATCTTGTTTTTTATGGTGGTTTCTTATGATTTTAAAAAAGAGAGAGAGAGAGAGAGAGAGAGAGAGAGAGAGAGAGAGAGAGAGAGAGAGAGAGAGAGAGAGTACTGCAGACAAAATGACCCCTACACTGTACATCAGTAGCATCAGTTCCTCTTACGTAACCTGCCACTGCAGCTGTGGAAGATCTTGCTATACCTTTGAAGTGAGCATTTATATGTTATAACATATGAAATTACACAGCTAGAAAGGGGCAACAATCTGTAGTATAGTAGTTAAAGTAATATGACCTGCAAGATAATGTGCTAGCACGGTGTACTATAAAGCTTTTCTGTCAAGGACTGAGCCAAGTACTGTAAAAGTTGATGTGGGATATTTCCATGAAGCAAGCAAAAAGAATAACAATACCGACACATTCCTCCTAGAGTGTCTGCTTTAGCAAAGATTAATTTCACCTGTGTTTCACTCCCCAACTGCTACAGAGGAGCTGAATGCAAATCTACTCTTCCACTTCACTATGACAGTCAACACAATTGTCCAGCATACTAACAGTATAACCATCTACACCAATCAACATGTCTTTTCAAATTTAATATAGTGCCCAAATATGTGTGCAAAAGTTGGCAGTCCTACGCATGCAGTACATATTTGTCTTTTTCGGAAACTGCTATCTGTTCCTCTTGAGACTCAAGACTACATGTTAGCCTTAGGGCCTTCTGACTGCATAGCTTATAAGGCTGTGCACATAAACCAACAGATCTGCTATATCCACCTCAGGTTTGACCTGTCACATATACTAAGCGTAAAGGAGACAAGCTTGTCACTACCATTGCACTGAACTTGAATTACGTCATGCACCACTTGAACCATAACACTGGTTTGAGATCGATTATAAGGGTGCGAATGAGACGTTATTCCTTTGTTAATGAGCACACTTTTTTATGGATGCTGGGCAGTTTTTGCTACTACAGAAACTCATTGTTTTTTTTTTGTTTTGTTGACAGAAGGGTGGTTGATTGCTAAGTGTTGCTTTTTTGGCAACAATTTAGAGTTTTTCTGTGATTGTGATCTGCCATAATGACAAACTATTTCCTATATTAAAGAATGGCATTGGTACCACCCATTCAAACTGTATATTCATTAATTTGTTCATTCGTTTTTTTTGTTTGAATTAATAAATTAATACATTACATATGAATACATATTAAGACATACAGTACACTATACTGTATAATACAGTATATAATTACTTCATTAATTAATTAAAGTTACTGCATAAAAGTCCAAAGAAATGTGATAAATGAGTCGGTTTGGTACACTTGGGATTTTCCCAATACAAATTTTGCTCAGCAAGAAAAAAAAAAAAAAAAAAACATTTGAGGGAATTCTGATTACATGCAAATTTGTCACAGCATACTAAAATGCTTCAAATAATTTCAGTGCAAGTCATGACATTTGAGAATACAGAGGATAGCCAAAACCCTCAATATGATAATTCCTGAAACTTTTTTTGTTTGTTTGTAAATGGATATGCACTCACCAGCTTCTATATTAGTTACACCTTTCTATACTGGGTTACCCATGTTTGCCTTCAGAACTCCTTTAATTCATCATAGTACAGTTTCAACAAGGAACTGGAAACATTCCTCAGAGAATTTGGTCCACATTGACATGATAGTATCACGCAGTTGCTGTAGATTTGTCGACTGCATATCCAAGATCCAAATCTCCCGTTCACGTTGAGTCCCGTCCCATTGAGTTGTATATATGCCATTTGACTAGTGAACTCATATCACATTCAATAAAACAGTTTTGCAAAGAGCGATGATTTGTGCTTTGAGGAATGGTGCATTATCCTGCCGGAAGAATCTATCCGATGTACACTGTGGTCATAAAGTGATAGATATGGTCAGCAACAATACTCAATTGCTACTAAGGGGCTGCTTAAAGTGTAAAAGAAAAGAAAGTATCCCCCACACCATTACGCCACCAGCATAAACCGTTAATGCAAGGCAGAGGATGGATCCATGCTTAAAAGTTGTTTACACCAAATTCTGACCCTACCATCTGAATGTCACATCAGAAATCAAGACAACATTTTTCCAATTTTGGTGAGCCTCTGCGAATTGTAGTTCTCAGTTGACTGGAGTGGCACCTGGTGTGATGATCTGATGCTGTAGCCCATCTGCTTCAAGGTCCGATGTGATGTGCATTCAGAGATGCTCAAACTTCAGTTGTAACAAGTGGTTGTTTGAGTTATGTTGCCTTTCATAAACCATGTGGCCATTATCCTCTGACCTGATCTGAAGGTATTTTCGCCCATGCACAGAACTGGTCTCGTTGAATATTCTCTTTTAAAGACCATTATATGTTAACTCTAGAGATAGTTGTGCATGGAAATCTTAGGAGATTAGCAGTTTTTGAAAAAACTCATACCAGCCCATCTGGCACCAACAACTATGCAATGTTCAAAGTAACTTAAATCACCTTTCTTCCCCATTCTGATGCTCACTTTAAACTTCAGCAGATCGTCTTGACCATAAAATGCATTGATTTTCTGCCACGTGACTGGCTGTAGAGGCGATAGGGTGCTAAGCCGCAAAAAATCAATAATAATTCTCTAAAGTAGAGAAGTTCTGTCTCATTTTGGGTTTGGGTTTCATCAGTTTGTTTCTTTTTCATACAATCACATGTACACACTGAAAAACACAGCATTGTACAGCTGTGAACGTCAATTAGCACTTACCAGAATGCGGTTTTGAAAGAAGGGTGTCGGGCACAGGCTCACATCTGCATAAGCGATTACTCCAGCTGTGATTTTTTGGGCATGTTTTATTTGCCACATGACATCTGTGGATGAAATAAGTGATTAGCAAGGAGACAGACAGTAGCGTGGGATTTATAATTACATGAATCCACAATAAAAGGCAAAATAAGAGTTTTAATTCAAATTGCGCTGACTCGTATAAACACACATAACTCAGAAACTGATTTTTCATAGACACATCTCTTTTGATCACAGGGTGTGTGTGTGTGTAAACCTTGCTGCAAATTAGCCTGTTTGCTTTAGTTGATTCAATAGTAACTTTCAAAGAGGACATGAAAGATGACCTCACTGTCTACAAATATATTTTATTCAGATACCTCACTTCACTTATTTTCTCAACTAAACAAACCTCAAATGAACTTTCCTTTTTTGAAGGAAAAAAAAATAAAATAAAATATATACATATTAATTAATAATTACACTGTGTCCTTGGTTTGGCATGACTCTGGCAGTCTATCAACAGGATGGAAGAGTCAGAGCTATTTAAGACAGAAGGAAGGAGGGAGATGCTATCAGAGTCTCTTGCTGTCCTACTAACCAGAAGCACATGGAGTAGTTGGCATGGAGGTTGAATGAAGTACAGGCATACTACAAACCTTTAAATCATGAACAGAACCGGTCAGATTCTTTCAAATAATATTCAGATGCCACAATACTGCAATATGCAGAACCCGATTCCACAAAGTGCAACGTGTTCCTGGATCATCATCTTTGTTGATTCAGGAACAACATTCCAATCCACCAATCAGATTTGAGGTACAAGTTTACATGTTATGTCAAGTTTAGCCTTACAATCAGGATTAAGTGCTTCCGTGTTATTCACTATTTCCCCAAAATAATTTATGGGTAGGGTTAGGTTTAGGGAACAGGAATGTTACTCTATGATCGACTAAATATGTTGACCAGGAAAGCTAAATCTGCAAAATCAGGACATGCCTGGAATAAAGAATTCTAAATATAATTGTTTTCTTTCAAAATGTAGTCAATAAATAAAACTTATACCATGTTCTGTCTGAACACACAATTCTGGTTGGCTGGAAGGTGTGCAATAAAACCGTTTAATGCTCATGTAGATCCAAGTCAGTTTAATCACTGTTCTACATTAATACACTTGCTTTATAGAAGCAAAGACACGCATATGTCACTCGCACTGTTTTCATCGAAGCACATATTTTTGCCACAAGTGGTTATATGGATTGTGCCATTTTGCAAGCTACATGAAATTGCTAACACGCACCACAAACATGCAAACCAATATTATTTCCATCAGAAAGTTTTCACGAAACCCAGTGCAATATCAATAAGACAAGGTTGAAGGAATCTCACATTATGTTAACTGCATCTCACATGATGTGCACTGAAATATATTTTTGTCCTGTCAAGTCATAGACATGCCAGGATCTATTGCATGTTGGAGTGGGTTTTACTGGCAATCTGATGTTTCAAGACTTTCTAATGCTCAGGTCCCAATATAGCTTTTGTAATTCTTTCAAACTTGTGCAATACACTAAGTATTGCACATCTTTTCTGCAATTCAATGCGATTTCGTAAATTTTTATACTTTTGTAGTATGTGACTTTTGCTTGACTTTGCTTGCAAAATACATTTTACATCAAGCTTTTCCTTTTAAACACTCCCCCGCCCCCCTAAACTGAACAACCTTTAGAGGTAATCCATTTTGTAATAAAAAAATAAAAAAAATAATACTGCCTTAGGAGGATCCAAACTAAAGTCACAAACTCACTCAAGCCCCTCCATTATACATCTATCTTTTCAAGGCTGCAGCTACTGGGCAGTAAAATCACAGGCTTCCCCCAAGATAAACTTTACTCTGGCTTCTCTTTTTTGAAGTGATATGAATCCACAAATTTGGAAAGTGAGTGCTACACTAAGAGTGGATCAACACTAGTGTGGACTGCAAATTGTCTTGGATTTAAAATTTCTTGCAGGAAAGAAAAATAATATGGAGCAATCCATCGAGGATAGTCCTGTTCAATTAAAACGGTGTGAGGAGGTCATTTCTAAAGCCTCTTTGAATTTCAAGGAATCTTTACCATTTGCATGAAGAGTAATCGGTGTATATGCATATGTTATAAACATCTGCAATGTATTTATATCCACAGCCGTAAGGCATCTTTAAACTTGCACACTGCGACCTAAAGAGATTTATGTATACTTACAACTCCATCCGTATATGTTTTGACTATCAATGTTGGGAATTGAGCCACAAAACATATATTGTACTATGCAATATTTTTTTTATTTATTATTAACATATCAACAAATACCAGAAACTTATACCAACAATAATAATACTCTAATAATATTGTAGTAAAACTGCCACAATCCACACAGTCCAATGAAACTGAAAAGCCAAGAGCAATGCTTTCCCTGACCCCTAGAAAGACTTCATCCACTACAAAAGTTTTAGGGGCTCACTATGAAGAGTAGGTGGTCAAAATCCTTCAATATTCACAATATTGTCTGTGCACATTTTCAGTATGAGGGACAGCAGGGAGGTGAAGAAATGAATTATGTGCCAGATGCAGCTATATTGTGGGTTAACTTTGAACTTAGCAAATCTCAAAGTCAAATTTAGACCTACACACCCTCCTCTCTCCAAATCTAACCTGAGGAAATACCAATCATGAACCAGTCCTCTGAGAGCAAACATTTTTTTTTCTCCTGAAATATAAAAAGGATGTTGATGTGAACAATCAGGTTGGGGCCACTCTGTTCTGTATTTTCAAGCCCACTCTATTAATTACTTTGTCACCTCCCTCCCCTCCCCTTAACCTCTCTCTCTCTCTCTCTCTCTCTCTCTTCTCTCTGTTTTCGTGAGTTAAAGTGGCTCAAGTCCCCAGGCAGATTCGGTCTCAGATTTATCCAGTGAAAAGCCAGGCTCAGATGTGGGTTTCCTTTCTAGATCAGAGAGACACGAGACTTCACGGTCTGCCCTCAACCTTTGCACTAAGTGTGTTTGTGTGCAAGTGTGTGTGTGTGTGTGTGTTCAGTCTTACACCCTGCTGAGAACTGACTCGGATGTAACAGCTCCAGTTACAGGTCCACTATCATTAACCTCCGTTGGGTAAAAGGTGACAGGTCAGGACCAGTTAGCATGACCCAAGGCGGGATCAGGTCTAAAGAAGGACCTCATGCATAGATCACCCCTCCTGTCTGGCTGTCCATGAAATGACTGCTTTTCCATCTAGACAACATGGGTGATATATTACCCATGCGGAACTGCATGTCAATAAGGGGTTCTCAGCACTGCACACAAATCTGATGTGGGTTTCTTATCGGATCTTTAGGACTGAATGTCCACTTTAATTTTGCAAATGATGAAATCTGATCTGTTAACTATCAACACAGAAAATATGTGGAATGCACAGATATGAAATTACTGGTTGATAGTGATAAGACGATTTTCATCTAATTTCATCTAAAATTAATATTGATCATCTTAAATGCTAAAAGTGAATTTAGGACACAAACAACACAAACAAGTGTTAGACATTACATTTAATGACTGATATATAGGCTTAGTGAATGCCAAGTCATAAAAAAGCTGAAAACTGAAAACTACAAGATGCATTAGATAAGATTGGCAGATTTCGCAAAAACTAACTCTGATTAAACCATCCGATGCATCAGAAGATGCTATCAAAAATGTGGTTTGGACCTGGTGTGTAAAAATCTACGTTTGTTTGCTGTTCTGACTGAATTTGAGTCAAATACTCCCGAGTCTGAATATCAGAATAAATCCTGTCTGAAGGCGTATCATGAAAAGTGGAGTAACCATTGAATAAGATGGTTTATGGCAACAAAAGTAACATTAGATAATGGCACAAGTCTTGATATTGCGTTCCACTGAGCACACAATATGAAGCTTTATGAAACAATACTATTACATATCAGTCCAGTATGCATTCTAAACTTAAAACATACCATGCATGCTTTTCAAACAGATGTCGGCATGATTAGCGTTCTGGGTTGTTTACTTAGAAAAAGAAAAACAGGTTGTTGAATATCAGAACCGTGAAATAAAGCAAATTTCAAACTAGCCCTGAAACGGTTCAGTGGTAAACTACACATGTACAAGGTTCTCAATGTGTTTTCAATTACCATATGCTCAGTGGCATAAAACAACACATTCCTGAGAACAGAGAGGGGGGATAAAAAGGACTTATGATATGGTCCACGCGAGGTGATGCACTTGCACCTTGCGTAACGCAAAACAGACTAGTCCATTTAGTCTACCAAGGTGTCAAGAAGATAATATATAAGCTAGCATAACTTAGAGAGCATGTTTCTAACACGGCAACACTGTCGTACACGTCCCTTGGCCGCTTTGAGACAAATCTGCATTCCCACCTCTACAGTAATTCAACTGCCTGGTCAATAAAGCCCATATGTTGTTTGTTACACAGAGCAGATACGTTCTTTGCTGGGGGCTGTCTGAAGAGGTCTGCGGTTCAACTGATTTACATTTAAAAGGCTAAAGAGGTTATAAATATCCATTTTCCATATGTTAATGTAAACTATGCTACAAGGGATAGTCGGCCTGCACTTTGAATCATGTGAAAATGCCAAAATCAAGGTCGGCTGTTCAAACAAACACATATTTCACAACCTCTTCACTTTATTTCACTATGCTGAAAACACTACTTATCATACCTACAATAATGGACTGCTAAATGTTCCAGTAAACTATGCAAGAGATTGAAATCAGTGGTGTATCCAGGAAATATTTATAAAAGTATAAAGCAGTAAGTGATGCATGTGTAATGTTATAAAGGTATAGGCATTAAGAATCATCCTATTTTACACAACATAACCATGATGTAATTGGTATTTTTGATACTCAATATTGTAAAAATTAACCTTTTTTTGTTGTGCTTGGACAAACTAAGAATATTCACAACAATTGTAGTTAGTTTTTGAATCATTATGCAACCTTTGAGCTAAAACAAACTCAAAACATTAATACATTACATGATTAGATGAGGCACATTAAAAGCCT